ATGCGAGAGTATGAACCTCTGTCTAGCTTGCATTGTTTCACCGAGTGAGTTCAAGTGCTCCCAAAACTTCTTGGCAGCGTTTCTATCTTTCTTACTCACATTACTCATCCATTCCTCACCCTTTCTCTGAATTTTCGCATTGATCAAACTGGATGCCTCTCGGCGACATGTTATAAAATTGTCCCATTTTCTTTTTACTTCCGTTTCGGACTCCCCACTACGCTTGGAATACCTGTGTTCTCTAGAGGCTTCCTGACGTTTTTGTATCGCTTGCTTCACTTCTTTGTCCCACCAGCTTTTTGGTCTATGTCCTTGCTTCCCCTTTCGTTTACTCTTAACTTTGTCTAGTTCTAGAGCAAAAAGCCTAGTTAGGCTCTCATAGGTCCAATCTGTATGCCGTTGCCCTGAAACTGCTGCCTGTATTCTTTCAACAACTATTTCCAACTCTTTGTCGCTGCAGAAAGTTTGCTTTGAATTATGTTGTCTAGTTTCAGCATTTACTTCTCTGGCAAAATTCAGCTTAATACGTTTGTGATCACTACCAAGACTTTTGGAACCTTCTTCATCTATTTTCATTACTTGTAACTTACCATATATTTTGTGTGACATGAGTACGTAATCTATAGTTGAATGCAGATTGCCAGTTTCCCAAGTTATGTGCCCGTCACACTTCTGACTGGTATTACATAAAACTAAGTCATGTTTTTCCACCAGTTCTAGTAATATGCTTCCAGTTGAGTCCGTATACCCATCCAGACCCTCAATATGGGCATTCATGTCTCCCATAATAATTATTTCGGAGCCTTCCCCTAGTTCACTAATGTCTCTTGATATGCAATCAATCATTTTTCTGTTTTCCTCTTTGCCGATTGCCGAACGATTTGCCAAATAACAGCGCCCCTAGCGGTGCAGGTGCGCTGTGGGAGCGGGAGACTGCCAACGGGTGGTTTCAATTTCAAGTAAGGGCCCCTTTCTCGTGAATCGAACTTTACTGTAGGGCATCTCGGAGTTCTGTATTGGTGTCAACTCGCAAAAACAAAAACTACAACGAATTAAACAATATCGAGTTTTAGTAGATCGTTCCGATGACTCCGATAAACATACCGAATACTCCACCGCCGCCTTTGCGCATGCATTGTATCGTTATCGGGTAACGTTATCGGGAGTATCGGAACGATATACTAAAACTCCGTAATATCATCAAACCCGGAGGGAAGGGTAAAGGGCGTGTGGGTGCGGACAGTGTCAACAGCGTAAGCGCGTCAGTAAATAATTATCCCGAGGCAAGTTTGTACTCAAGTAAACGTGCGGCTATCCGAGTTAAAACAAGCAAACATGACTCACACATACAAAAACTAAATACCACGAGAGGAAAACAAATTGCTGTACGTAGACGATAGATGAAAATTTCATGGAGATACCAGAGGAATAAGATATCAAAACGCAAACACCCCTCGCTTTTAAACCAGCCTGGAGACACAGTTTCGTAGCAACTATCGGAAGCGAACACGTGCGTCATAGAAGTGAAGCGCAACGAACACGCAACCCAGTCTGGCTCGATCCGGCAACGACTTATTCAAATCTCCTCGTCTTACTTACCTTCCTATGCACCATGTTCTATATCGTAAAACTAGTCTCTTTTTTTTCCTCTCGTGTATAAGTAAACGAGTCTGCAAAATAAAACCGAAATAATTTCTGAACATCTTTAGAATTCATTCCGGAGAGATCGGTTCCAATGTACCCGAGAGAAGCACGACCCGCTTCTCGTATAAACAATAACAACAACATGAACAACAAACAAACAAAACAAAAACATGGACACGTTGCATTCAATCCCCCGAAACGTATAAATGCCGTAAATTTTATCCCTCCTACCCCCTCCGCGCGCCGTGCTTCTCCGAACAACCAACCCAGCGCCCAGCACTGGCGCAACAGATGACCGTACACGGAAACACGCCACCCCGAAAGAACCAACTACTCCACTCCCTGAATATCGAATCCGCAGCAACTCTGAAAAGCAACGCAATCAGAGCATCGAGACCCCGCCGCCGCCGAGAAGGTACGAATATTATCCCCGCATCTCGGGCAACCCCAGACCCGCACGACCGCAAGACACGCGCCGCGAGTCTCGGATTTTCGGGAATGAAACGGATAAAAAATAAATAAATACATAAATAAATAAACTCTTCAAAACGAGAGGAGTTAAAAAAAAAAAAAAAAAAAAAAAGGCCGAGGGAAGAAGAAAAAAGGCAGGCGAGAGGAGGAGAAAGCGGCTCGCAGGAGCGTAATGAAGCGGCCCTGGTCCCGCTCCCAGCGGAACAAGGGCGAGCCCGCCGTCCCCGTAATCCGAGTGCATCTCCCATCCTCGGGTCGGCGGCGGTTCCTCCGCGGCCTCTGCATGCGGCGGCAGCTCGGAGTCGATGGAGTTGCGCATGCAGATCGGCGGCGGGATGTCTATGCCGCCTCGAAAAATTAGTAATAGCGCGCCGAGCCCCGCGATCGATTCCTTTTTGATATGCGCGGCACGTCCGGACCCACAACACGTAGCCGCTTCCCCGAGCTCCGCTCTCGCGCTGCCCGACTCGACAGCTGCAGCCTGCGCTCTCCGTCAACGAGCGGCGCCGCAAGGCGGCTTCGCCGCACGCTGCCGCTGCTCAAGGAGAAGCGCACCGCCGCGAACACGACGCTTTCTTCCGGACAGCCCGAAACGTTTACGACGAGAACTAAGGGCCCGATGGAGGCCTCGGAGAGCAGAAAGAGCGGAGCGAGAATGCGATATGGTTTCAACAAGAACGAGATTTTATTGAGGAAAAATAAATGTACCGTTTCATCTGGTATTAGCCACGAAACGCTCGACGTAGGATACATCGTCAGTTTCTAGAGTAACCGACTAGTGTATTGTTCGCCGCTTTGTAATTCGCAGAAGTTTATTAACGCTCGAAACTTCATAACGCTGCAATACGTTAAAAAAAAAAATAAGAAAAATATCACGGATGGTTTTGCGAGCGAGCACGTGCCCCTTTAATATATTCGACACAGTTGTCTTCGGCAACATTTCACTCCACGTCGGAAAATCAGCTACCAAGAGACTACGTTCAATAGAGCGATCTCTCATATCTAAAGTAACGCTACTAGCAAAATAAAATAAAAAATAACGATGACATTTGTTCACTTTTTTTTGCGTACGACCGAAAATGACAAAGAACCGTCGCGCTGTCACCGTCGTGCCGGGCAAGTACGGCATCAGCACGGTGCCACCCGCAAAACAGAAGAGCGTCGGCCACGAAAACAGACGTAAGGAACAAAGAAACGAGGTGGAACTGGCCGGCCGTTCGCGAGAGAAGGGAACAGGGCGGCCCATAGGCATGCCCGAGCACGTGCAACTCACGGCCAGCGCATCTCCCGTAGAGACAACAGCGGGCGTCCGTTTCATCTGCCGCCGACGCTTCGATGAAAGGCGCGAATAAAGCGCCGCACTTACTCTCCAGATAATATCAATAACCGTACGACGAGTGTGCCGCGCGAAAACAAAAGCGCCAAACCAACTCCGCGCACGCCAAGGGGCGGTGAGAACGAAACAAAAATAAATTAAAAAAAAAAGGCGGCGATATTCATGGGTCGCACGTGCACTGGAATGAAAATTGGCCGCCTTTCTTCCCTTTCCTTCTTTTTTTTTTATTATGGAGGCGATTGTCTTTTCGTCCTATTGCTATTTTTCGTTCTCTGCTCGATCCGTTTTTCTTTACAGGGGCGCGCGAGACCGTTACGGCGATTTATAGTTATGCCTCCCTGTCGAAAGGGCTAAGCGCTTCGCTTACCACTCTCTCTCTCTCTGCTTCGCATGCGTTTCCAATTGGCGGAGCGCGCTCTCCGTACGATGCATTCCGAGCAGAGACAAACATCCGCATCCAACTTCGAGACGCTTCGATTGAAGCGCAATATCGTTCCCACCTTTACCCCGCGTTGTTTCTCTGCCTGCTGAATATTCCACTACAGGCGCTTCCACCCCGTATGTTGCCTGAAAAGGACGCCTCCAGCGGAGAGCTACGTGCACAGTTGGAACTCCCCTGGGAGTTTCGAACGAGCAAGCAACAACCTATCAACCCACATACACCCGCAACCTCCATCGAACGGTATAATTAAAAATCCAATCTCGACTAGCACACGTCATTTGAGAATACCCGTTACGGATCCAGTCACACATCCAGTCTCATTGTAAGCACACCCCGCCCCCCGCCCCCCTAAAAAAAAAAAAAGATTTCGGGTTTACGGTCACACGTTCTATGTGACACCCGACTCTTCCGTGGGATTTGAAACATTGGAGCGCCAGTTCTAGAAGAAAGCCGCGCCGACATCGCGTGGTTGTCAAAGCGCGAAGCTCGTAGTAAGAAAAGCTAGCCCTATACCAACTCCCCGACGCCCCATCGCGCTCGCGCCGAGTCGTGGCCAGCGCTTGACATCGCCGGAAATTGTTGACGACCCCGTCGACCGGTGCCAACCCCGGCGGCGGGGCCTCTCCGTTTGAGCACAGCGTAACGGCTGCCCGTGAATCGAGCCGATGCCGCGGCGTGCGCCCAGAACAACCACCACGCCGACGGCGGCGACTCACACCGGCCCGGACGCAAGGTGGGACTTTCAAATCCCCGCGCATCTCGTGCGCTGCGGGCAAACATCACGGGGCCCGCCTCGCAACGTACTCGGCGGCTCGCTCGGGGTTTTTTCTGTCGGTCGGGAGAGCCGCCCGGACGTTCGACATGACGTGGAAACCGGTAAACAATCACCGGGAAACAAAGCGGGCGGCTCGAATCAAGCGCAGCATCGATCACCGTTGATAACCTATCAATAGAGAAGGGAGATGCGCGTTCGCGCACCCAAGAAAAAAAAGGATTCCTCCCGGACTGCCGAGAGAAAAACGTCTGCTCCGGGCCTGACAGTCCGTCGACACTCGGATCGAGGCGAACGGAAAAGCCCGTCCGCTTCGGATAAGGAAATTGTCTTACCTGTAAGCGTGGTAGATCAAATTCACTCCAACATTGGACTAAAGAGCGAGCGTCTGCAGCCATCTTGGCCCAAGACGAATGACAACTAATTGGCCACGTGACCACGCTCGCCCTCTTTACTCCTCTCCCGATCTAGCGGCTGTTTTCGTTATGTTGGCGGTTTTTTAATCAACAAAAATATAAAATATTTCGCAATTATTTGCTTATTGATGGAAGTCTGAGCAATTTATAGGGTGTAATCGAGTCTTTCTTTGCAGAAAAGCCTGCGTTCGTTGCGAGATCTGTAAAAGAGCTCGGGTTTGAGGCTAGGCGTCCTTCGTTACAACATGGCCGCCATGTGGAAGTGGTGCGAGGCGGGGAGTTCGTTTCTGAGCAAGTTGGCTTCGAATGGCGAAAAATACCAATCTTCCGTTCATATGAGGAATCTAATTGCTGTCTACGACGACGTCCTTGTAGCGTGGAGCCAAAAAGAACAGCGTCTGCTGGCTGTCAACATCAAAAACTCGCCCAAAGTCGACCGCGATGACTGCCAGGTGCGTCCTGTTTTATTCCGATTGTGATCACTTATTGAATGTTACTACGGTCTTCTCAACGTAATTTTATTTTTAGCGATAAATTTATTGGTAATAATTGTTTCGGTGTGTTTGACTGCTCGGGTTCGCGCTTCTGTCGACTGACCAAGCTCAAGTGCAGAATGCAAAGGAACAGGCTATGGTTACGTTCTCTGTATCCTGAATAATTTGACTTCCCAACCGTTCTCGTCCCTTTCCGGTGTGTGTATTTGAAACTTCATTGAGAAGTTCCTATCAAGTGCCCTGCAGTAAAACCGTAAAATAAACATTGTGGGTCGCTCTTTTACACTGCCGCCCAATCGGTCCCTGCCTGGTCCGCCCTCCCAAGAAGTTACGCGTTCAAGGAGATGTGTGAAAACGTTTTACTGCTCCTTGCGCTTCTTGACCGTGTCCTGGCCGTAGATCCCGTGGGTCGCCCAGTCGTTACGGCGTTGCTGCGTTGCGGCGCGGCACTGCTTATTAAAAGTCTTGCTGTCACTGCCACGACCGGCCAGAGTGAAGTCGCAAAAGCATCCTTTAAGTCGGCTCTGTAGTTTTCTATAGGGACGACCCCCTGAAGGGAGAGCCGTTCCTCTGCCCTTCGTCGATTGTTGGAATGACGCCAAGCAACTAGCCATCTTGGCCCAGCAGTTGCAAATCATAGTGCTCATTAACTCGCCTGCCAGCTTTCCCGGTGTCAACTGCTATACCCGCAATTTTAACGACACCCGCTGACAATCTCGTCCGCCAGTATTCCCGGTGTCAACTGCTATTCCGCAACCTTTCCGACACCGACTGACAAAAACCCATCTGTACCCTGGGCCTTGACAAGCGCCTACTTGCCTACCGCGTCCCCCCAAGCCTAAATCCTAAATCTGCAATAAGTCCTAGCTATTTCCCCTCCTGCCAGTCGTTATCCTGCCTTCCAGCGAATATGCCGTGCCTTTCCTCTGCCTCCGAAGACGACTTTTTTACATCTTAACCGCGCCCCTCGTCTTCACCCCGGTTGCATCACCTCCTGCCAACCACTATTCTGGGGTACCCGAGAAAGTGTGTCCGCAATCTCGTCCTTCGAGCCCTTTAGGTACTCCATTCGAGGAGACACCTGCTGAGCTCTGCTGTGAGACAAGTCTCCCAAATTCCAACATACTTTGTCTCAACAGGCATCGTTAGCGTTAGTGAACAACCCACTCAACGAATCCGTGGGACTCCCTGGGGACGACCAGAAGCAGAGGCATACCGAATGGGCCCCATGTTGGGCGCCAGTTGTGTGAGTCGCTCTTTCACACTGCCGCCCAATCGGTCCCTGCCTGGTCCGCCCTCCCAAAAAGTCACACGTTCAAGGAGATGTGTGAAAACGTTTTACTGTTCCTTGCACTTCTTGACCATCTCCTGGTCGGGGATCCCATGGATCGCCCAGTCATATGGGTGTTGCTGCGTCGCCGGCCGTTCCCGCTCGCGCCTAGTCTCGAACTGAACGTGCATCCGTCTTGAGTGCCGGTCTGCCAGCCACAGCATCTGCCCCCCGCGCGCCATCTTCCTCCTCGGCTTCCCACAACCTTAATTCGTTTGAAGTAGGACCCTCGTATTCCATTTTAGCGTAAGCGTGCTTGCTTGAATTGGTCTTACGGTTACACCTCCAGCAGTGTTGACAACCTCTATGTTAAGGTAGACCAACTGTGTGAAGCAAATTTCTACTCATTTGCCCTGCATGCATTCTTTAAGTTTCAGCAGTTCTCAATGTCGCAGGGTAGTCATATAAGCACATATGTTCTCATTTTGTCTAGGCTGCACATCGTTTAGTGACTATTGTATCGGCCATTTGTTAACATTTATTACATTAAATGAGCCTAGTATGTACTTATGGCACATAGAAACATGTTTTATAGCTATTTTTGTATGTTCTTGGAAACTCACTCATTAAGGCTGCAACTTTCTGAAGGCTAACTGTGGTAGTGTCATTATCAGTGTTTTTTGAACTGTAGAAATTTATGGGTGGTTAAAATTTCTCAGCTCGTCTCTAGGTTTGCGTTCTGACCTTTGTTACCGAAGGGCATAAACAGAATGTAACCTTGGTTTGCACCAAGTGTTCTATATCTGGACTCTTTTTCAATTTTGCTTCACCCTTACTTACACAACTGCTACTCTCATTTGATTAAAGGCTGGTCCACACATTTGTGTCAGTTGCATTTGCAGCAATGGAAACGACAGCAACGACAAAGTCACCGGGACAGGTGTTTGCCATACACAGTGGGGCAAGCGATGCAAGAGGTGGCTTCACGAAGCAATCATGAATCACTGTTGTTCCGTTGTTCTGGTTGTTTCTGTCGTTTTGGTTGTTGCGAACGCAACCGTCGCAAATGTGTGAACCAGCCTTTGCATTATACTTAAAATAACTCTAATGCCTAGTTTGCACAATACCACTCCTGTCGGTTGTTCATTAAGGGTGCTTACACAAGACCAGAATGCAACGCGGCTTCTGTCTTAAAACCTCTGCCGTAATCCATGTTGGTGGCATTCGTCTGCTTTCGCCCTATGTCCGCTATGTTTTTCTATGCGGGGGAAGCAGTGTTTTCCAGATTGCTCGAGTTCTCTCACTTCGTGATCAACTGTGCCAGCCAAAGTGGTCGAGGAGATAAAAGAGTATCAGCTGGTACTCGATTTTTATTCATACCGGTCTTTATTCGGAGTTAAAACGAGCTGAGGCTTGAGAAGTTGGTTCGTCGGCAGGCAAAATGGCCCCACAGATGCTGCCAGGTGGCTCTGAAGAGGGAGTAAGCAGAGTAAGCTTGTGTTGAAGCATCCCAATTGTATTCCCGACTGTACTGTATGTTCCCGTTTCTGCGCTTTCATCCTACTTCTGCGCCAACATCAAAGATGATGTTAACAAATAATAGCTTTTGTGCATGTAAGGAGAGAATAGTGGAAGATGTCATTGACAGTGCCGCAGATGGCTTATCAATATTAAATTTTATAGTTTTTTAACATGCTGCTTGATGGCGTTTCCGAGAGTGACGTCAGGTGCTAGAGTCCTATAAATTAAAAGTGATCACACTATCGTTTCATTTCAAACCTGTGACTATGCTCACACTAATTTCTTGTGTTTGCTTTCCTTATATGTCACCATGGATTAATATGGCAAGCATTAATCAGGTTCAAAATTTTGCCACATATGCCTACAGATGACATCAAAGTATATGATTATGGATAACATGCAACATTTTTTGCCTGCAGGTTTTACTCCTTACAAATCCTCCATTGTTTGAGGTTGACAATGTTTTGGTGAACAAGTCTCACCACCTTTTGCTCTCCGGGCCACGAGGCGTGACTGTCGTTGCACTACCCACGACCCCAGCAGCATTCATCAAGGAGAAGGCTTCGTGCAGGTAAGCTCTTGTTCCTAACTGATCAGCCACCATTATCTCTTCCCCATTAGGATGTAACAGTGCAAAAGCTAAATGCTTGTGCTGTGCTTCGTGCAGCCTAATGATTGGCGCCTAATGAAGTGACATCTTGAAAAGATGAAGACTGTCAAAAATGTATTGCAGTTTATTCTTTAATTGTAATATGTGCATGACTGGAGGTCTCAAGAACATCTCTTAAAGCATCAGGCTTCTAGAGGAAATAATAAAATAATCTTGCAAGGAATGGTTGGTGCTGCTTGTCTTGTTGCTTGTCTGCATGCTTTCTATTCTATCTTGTAAACTGCACTGAATCATTTTCTCACTTTGAAGGATTTTAGACATTTATTCTTGAAATGATGTTTTGGAAACTGAGTTTGTTTTTATTTCAGTAAACTCACTTAATATAGTTGTAAGTTATAAAAAAATTAAAAAAAAATGTGCTCCATCTTTTGGCATGCTCTTTCTGCTAGAAACATACAGAACATACTTAAGGGGACACACCCCGGGAAGGGTCAACTTTTGAACCCTTAGCTTATAATTAATGAAATTTACAGGGTAGGCTGGTGGTCATGCTAGAGGGTGCACACAAAATTTCAAGTCTGTCGCTTAAATGGGAAAGAAATTAGAGCTGCTTTTATCAGCAACATGCCTACATTGTTTAGTTAATCTATCAGAAAACTATCACAATATTCAAGATTTTTATTTGCTAGATATGTAACAGAATGCCTAGGGAGTATGGCTATGAAAAGTTTTTTTGTAAAGAGTCATTTATTTCTATAAATTTTCCCTTCTGCAAAATTGGTCAACTTTTTGGTTTTCTGTGTCTTCGACAAAATGTCAACATTTTTTATAAAAGACATTCGTAGAGTGTCAAAAAAATTCCATAGCCGCATTCCTTATTCAGTTAGGAAAAGTGAAGAACGAGCCTTCCCTGTATTGCCATTATCAAACGATAGATTGACTAAAATGGAATTTATATCAAAAAGTGGAACAAAGAAAAAGGTGTTTAAAGTGCTCCAAGCCCTAACTTTTCTTTAGCTTTGGTGGACAGAAAGTAATTTATAAAAAAATTAACTATGCAGCGTAAACTAATTAATCTTTCTGGAGATACTCTCTAGATGTTGGTGGATGTAAATATGTCATTTTACAAAAATCAACTTTTTTTGCAGAAATAAAAGTAAAACTCGGTCGCAGTTGCTCTTTATATGCATTTTATCAGTATTGTATTTTTACAAAATCTAGACAGACAAGGTAATTTTCTTGGTTTTGCTGTTGTTTCTACACTCTTGCTTTCAAACAACAGCTCTCAGTGGCTGACCCGTTTCCCTCACACTGTTTGCAGATCGTGGTCTTTGGGCGAGCACTTTTTCTTGTGCAACAAGTCTGTGCTGGTGTCACATGTTGCCTGGCATCCGGATAGTGAGGCTGACTGCCATGCACTTGCCCTGACCAGCGACAGTAACTTGAGGTGACATCCTTTCATTTCTTTTACCAGTCCCAGTTCAGTGGTTCCAAACTCTGGTTTGCAGATTCCCAGGTGTTTTGGTGGGGTCTGCAAAGTGTAAACCCCAGCAGGGGGTCTGCACATTGAGGCTGAAAATATGTAAAAACCTGTACAAAGTCAACTGCAAAAATATGTGTACATAATGATGGCGGGCTGTTACCACGCGCACCCAAAATTTTAAGATAGTTTTCAAATACTAAGGGGTGGGCACTTGCCAGGTCCAAGAGCAGAAGGGGCACATGATAATATAAGCTTCTTCATTTTGCACTGGAGTGCTTGCAGAAGCAGATGACGAAGAGAAGCGTCGCGGTTTGGTTAATGGGCTCAAAAATCTGGGCTAGACACTTCATAAGTCCTTTGAAATTAGCAAGTGGGCACTTATAATGATGTGGGCACTTGCTTGGTATTTTACTATTGGTAGGTAGTAAACATAATCATAAGTTGATCGTTTACCAAATAATGCAAACCACACGGCAAAATGTGATGAAAAACCTGAATACAACGCATGTGCATGTGCAAAGGGGCAGAGGTGCTAATAGAGTGAAGGGTTGAAGCAACATTATGGTGCTAACATATATAATTTCAAGATTGCAGTGCCTATGCAACACCGCATGTGAGAGGTCTATAGACCTTTCCATCTGACATCGCATGGGCGCTGCAATCTTAAAATCACATAATGCTGGCAAATTTTTTCGGTGTCCGCATCACCACCGTTTTGTTTTATCTTTCACCACTCGGATTTTATTTCTCCCTCTTTCGCTTACGGCGGGAGCGAAAGAGCATCTGTAGCATCTCCTGTGATTTCTGACATTGCATTTATCACTTTGACTAGCATGCATAATCCTTATAGAGCCTCATGAGATATAGCATTCAAAGGTGATGAGCAACTAAACAGAAGACTGTTGTGCCCTTCGGCCTAACGACTTTCTCGAGTGGAGATAGTAGTGAACAATTAATTGAAAACAATGACGCAAAAAAAAGGCTCAAAAGTCCAGACTACTTTTGCCTATGCAAGAGGAGAAAGATATAATGTGCTCCTCCTTTTGAGTTAGGCTATACTTGACATCAACTATTTCATGCTGTGTTGTCGAGGCTAGCTTAGTTTCCACAGTGCTCCGACGCTGTCAAAGGTATGAGCGTGCGAAAATGAGATTCGAGCCACATGCTCTCGCAGCAGTGCAAGGTTGCAGCACAGCGGAAGCTATGCTAGCCTTTGCAATGCAGCACAAAATAGTTGATGCCGAATATGGAGAACCCCGTGACACCAATGTCTCCTTTTGTGCAGGTTGTACAGCGTTACTGAGCCACAGGCCCCCCAGTTTATTCTTCCAGTGGGGGCAAGCCACGGTGCAAGCAGCACCATCAGCAGTTCTTTGGGCGACGCGGCCGTCGGCTTCGATTTTGGCCATGCCACCGCCGGCAAGTCTCCAGCCCGCCAGGTGTTTGTGCTCATGGGCAGCGGAGATGTCTACCTCACCCACGTCTCCCCCCGCGACGACAACAGGTAAGGGAAGCTTCCCGACTTGCCGCAGACATACGCCGGGTGACGTCGCATTGCTAGATGGGTGTTTGAACTAGCAAATCGTGTCGGTTGCTGAGGTCTTTGTAGGTAGAAAAATATGTAGTTGCCTAGGCTATATATTTACTATGCCCACATAAATTGGCAGTTTCACGTCACACATCCAGCTCAGATTTTCAGAGGGACGAATACGGGCAACTTCGCCTCATGTTTTTCTATGTGTGGAGACATTGTTTCCCGGCTCGCCCGAGTTTTTTCTTGCATTGTGGTCGACTGCGCCAGCCAGAGTAGTTGGCAACATAAAGGAGCACCGGGGTTCTGGATTTCTGTGAATACTGACCGTTATTTGCAGTTCAGACGGCCCACCCTAAGAAGTTAGGCAGCCCGGTTTCAGACAATTTGTGCGACAGGATGGAAAATCTGAGGTTGATTTTGACTGCCTCATTCACGTCTTGAAAGACGATGGAATGAATGTAGCTTTTGTCTGGTCTTTTAATTACTAATATGTTGCTCATGGTGCAGTCTTGGACAGCTAATGTAAGCATGAGTAAGTGAGCAACTAACTCAAAGATGTTTACTGAGCTGGGTTGCGCACCAAAAGTTAGCCGACCGCCCCTTTTTCACTAAACTTAGCTTGTGTGGGGGGTGGGCAGTCTTTCTAGGTACATTCCGGTGGTCACTCTTCATAATGTAGTGTAGAAGTGTCACTTCATGCATTCTTGAAGTGTCCTGTTTGGACGACAGCAATTTATGCTGTTTAAACGCAACAATTTTTTTTGCTTTCTGCGATAATGCCGTACCTGCACTGCAGGAGCCATATGAATAAAGAATCCAGGTTCTTACTCTCCCATAAACTGTTTTGTCTTCGAACGAATGTGATTTATACGTAAACTTAAAAACAAATATGGTTATTTTTTCTTTTCGTAATATCCCGAGTCAATGCCCACCCCTCTGTCGCCTGAAATTCACAAAAAAAGGGGGGGTGTGCCATGTCTCGGTTGGTAAGCAAAAAAAGGTTAAAAAAAGCTAAAAAGCGCCCATTTTTTTTTGTACATATCTAGCACAGTGGCACCAGAGATACATTAAACTCAAAACTTGAATTATAGTTTTGATGTTTTATGCAAGAAATGCTCATGAAAGAATGTTTTACTATCATAAAGTCTGTTGCTTGCATATGCGCTATGAACACCGCCAATCGGCATACAGTGCAAACGTTTGTTCCGTGAAAGCATGTTTCTAACACCGCTATCTTTTCTTCGTTAGTAAAAAAAAAAGAGAAAGGAGTCAACAAGGAAATAGACAAACCAACCAGGTGCAACTAGCAGACGAGCGAGCAGGTGAAAGAAGCAACGAAGAGCGATGCTGGAAAAGCGGGAAAGTCGGCAATCCCGTTGGCAGACACTTTGGTGTCAAGCCAAGTTGAGTCCCTTGTCAACCATAAGGAGCAGGCTCTTGTGTAGCTTTTTTGTTTGATGCATACATGCGTGCGTCCGTCTGCAACGTGCTATCAACACGGGTTGAGGCGGCGTTGCTGCGTGGCGTGGACGGCTCCACCATAACAGGGAGCTCGAAATGGGGCGCTTTACAAACTTCTTTGTGCGGCGTTCTAACAAATCTTCATTTACCTATGGGCTTTGTTTCAAACATTGCACAACCTTACCGACTGCGGTCGCGACGTACCGGGTGAAGGATCGGGTTCTCGGTGACATTACTTCAGTGCAGACGGTTACATTTCAAGATATGGGGCGTTCACTGAACTCGCGATCCCTGAATGGGGTACTGCTTGCCTTATTTTTTAGACTTTTTTGTTTGTCTAAACAAACTTTTTTTGTAAGCAAAACAAAGTTTCATTATGTTATCTGCATCATTTCCCTTTCGCAGTCGTGTACTCCGACTTTGGGGACAAGGAAATTGGGTAGGAAATGCGCAAACAAAGTGAAGTGTCTTTCCTTCCTTTCTTTTGGTACTTTGTCAGTGACGTCTTCCAACCTTAACGTCTGTGGCAGCATCATATGGATAGGATGAATGTTAGAGGATCGCGGAATCCGCGTTTGGGTATTTATAGGGGTGGGCAATCATTCGGTTTTTTTTTTTTTTGGAAATCAATATTCGGCCAAAAAGAGGGGTGGATGATGGGTAGGGGATGGGCAATGACTCGGGATATTACGATATGTTAATTGCACTCTCATTTTCTACATCTCTCCCAAATGCTACCATCAGCACTGTGCACTTGCGGAAAGTGCTGGGGCCCTTGACGATGCAGCCGCAGTCGGACGACAACTACGGGGTGGATGGTTACTCTTTGGTGTGCCTGCAAGCCGCTGTTCCCATCCTAGCCATCGCCACCACTTTTGGTACCCTCTACCACTGTTTGGCATTGGACGAGCCAAGAAACGAGGTGAGCGTGTTCCCTTTTTTCCCCATTCCTGCGCTGTTTCAAGGCAGGATTGGCTTATGGTTACGGTTTTGCGTTTTCGGTCCATACCGATAGATCCCAAAGATTATCCCCCAAGCTGGTTTTATCAAAAATTGGGGCAAACTAAAAAAAACCAAATCGCAGCTGTCCTTGAATAAAAAAAAAATTCACGCAAAAATAAAGTGTATTTATGTAGAATGCAGTTTTTAACTAACTGCCTGCAGGGTTTCTTCCTGCTTGAGAGTCACACATCTTGTTTCTTATTCTTATTGATACGTTTTCCAACTATTTTAGTCATGCACATGTTTCTGGAGGTTGGGGGATCCTGTGTCCCGTTTCTTCAACATGAACCCCGATGAACATGCACTTTGGTAGCCTGAGTTACACTGGCCGAGGTTGAACAGTTTCGCGTGGCTCCTGGAGAGCCGTGCTGTGCAAGCGCGAGGAGCAGTGTCGTCACACGGCGCACACGTGGCGCGCCGGAGCCGCCACCGTTGCGCGCTATAACCAACGATAGCGGCATAGCAAAGCAATCTTGATCTCCCATGCTCGTTTGTTCTTTTCTCATGTGTTTGTGTCTGCTTTAGGGAAGGAAGTGGAGCAGCTCCCACAGATATAGTGAAAAAAGATTTTGTGATAATTGAAAAAAATAATTGAATTCAGAAAAGTTGTTAAAGGGAAGATGGGGCGGTTCTGCATTTGAGAAAAAACACTTGAATTGTGTTCATTTGGCCGTTAGAATAACAGATATCACAATTATATTTCAATGCGACGCGCCGAAGAGCTATAAGAGCAATTTCAAAATAGGGCTGAAGCCCTGCCTCCCTAGCCTTGGGCAGCCAAAAGATCCGTCGATGACATCACGGACAGCGACTGTCTTTGGCGTTTTCTCGCGTTTAACAAATCTTGCGCAGCAAATGGTTTGGGTATTCGGGTTCATAAGGTAAAAATCCACCAGAATTCACTTCTAACTCATTTTTTTCAAGAAGCTCCGTAGCTTCCCTTTAAGTCGTAGAATGCCGCACTTTGCTGCCGCGGCCGAGCAGCCACCCAGGACAGGTAGCTGCAAAGGCTGCCAGGGGCCTCAGCATCGTCATCTGCTCCCTGCTCTTTACTTGGGAAGCGGCTTTTCCACATTGCATGCCGATAGGGGTGTACAGAGTACTGGTGACAACATACACACATAGAAAGCCTACCATGAAATACCATGCATCCGCCCTTTTCACACTAAGCACCCCTTCCCAAATTTGTAAGATCTGAGAAAATATGCTTAGTACATTTATATGTAAAATTGGTGACCGGACGAGCACCCATCCCCCATGTTTTCGCGATCATCTCCAAATTTTGGGTGGGTGCTTGCCCGGTATTTTACGGTAGATTTAAAGGGTAACTCTGGTCAAAAGTCAAACCAAAATAAATTACTGATATCAATTCATGGAGACTACATGCAAGCCCTGCCAAAATATTACATGAATGGGAAACCGCTATCCACTCTAAAACCGATATTAAAAATGCTAGCATCAGCTTCTCAGCAGGCATTCAGTGAGCTCGCTGTTTGTCAAGCAACCTTGGCCCCCAACGTCATGTTCGTATTCAAGCATGGTTACTTGCGCATACTGTCACTTCTTTTGTCATGCTTTTCTGCTCTGTTTTCAGCCATCCCAGCAGACGATATCTGCTTGTTATGTTTTAGCGGCCGTCGTTTGTAATGGCTCCTCAGTGATTGCGCACAAAGAATATTGACTCCCTGTTTCCTCAAGCATGTCGCGTGGTGCCGGGGTGCAAAGAGCCCACGGGACTGGTATCATTGTGCAATGTCGAGCATGTCTTGCTGTGCTGTGGGTTGCGCAAACAACTCGCTGTGCAACCCGGACGTGTGTTTTTACCAATTTCCGCAAAACTCGAAGTTGAGTAAGGCGTGGGTCGGTGCCGTTTGTCGAAGAGATTTCAGAAGGCCTTAGAATCTGAAACCTTCACTGGTGGCCATAGTTGAGTTCACTCCTGCTCAGCACAAGCTTATGCAATGCTTCTGCAATGTGCATTACACACCACCAAGATTGTAATTCTTCTCAGAAGATAAGGAGTGGCTCATTTTGAGCCTGCGCTGAATATGCCACGGTCAATTATGGCGTGCTCTGAAGACAACCTATTTAGCAGTCTGTATTAATATTTGCTACAGATGTTTCATATCTACAAAGCAAAGCACTAAAGCAGCCATAGCATATTACCCGTCTGATCAGAACTGCTCTTGTGACTAGGCCAGTCGTACGTTTTGCGGTACTGCAGTAGAAGCTCTGCGTCAGGCGATGGCCATGCAGCTGATCACCGGGATATACACCTTCTTGAGCCGATAGTTTCAGTTTTGCCATGGGTCCTTGAAACAAAATTTTGAGATAAGATATCTACAAAACTACACGAGGCATCAAAAAATAAAATAACCTCGTAATTCAGAGACACTTCCTACATTAAAAACAGTTGTAACCCTAAAATAAAAAAAAACAATTGTAGAGCCCTTCGACTTCACGTAAAGATGGAGGACCAGCGAAGCTGTGATTTTTACAATGTCTAGGACAATGCCTAGAAGACGACTTTTAGGACGACGCCTAGAGGACGACATCTAGGATGACCTAGAGGACGACGTCTAGGACGACCTCAAGGACGACGTCTAGGACAATCTCAAGGACAACATGTAGGATGACCTCGAAGACCATGCCTAGGATGACTTTTAGGAAGACCTCGAGGACGACTTCCAGGACGACCTCAAGGACGACCTCTCAGACGTCTTCTAGTACGACCTCGAGGACGACTTCTAGGACGACCTCGAGGACAATGCCTAGAGGACGACCTCTCAGACGACCTCAAGGACAACTTCTAAGACGACCTCGAGGACGATGCCTAGAGATGATAACAAGGGATCAAGACCTCACTATCTAATAATGCCGAGGAAGGCTCACTCACGCTGGTTGCCCCTATTTTATTTTTATTTATTCATACTTGCAACAACCAATGGGGAGTTTTCTGTGAACATCCGCGGGCGCATTTTTTCCAAGATGCTAGCACACAACAGCTTTGCTGTAAAAGTACCAGGGTTACTCTTTAATTAAGAGAGGGAACAACTCCAACCATGGAGAGCCTCCTGGGCAGACTGGTGCATGTTTTGGGTTGTCGCGTGGTAAAGAGGAAAGCGGACGGAGAGGCAGAGACGTTTGCAGACGAACGCTTTTGACTCCTCATCACAGCTCGTTTTGAAAACACGCGGCTCTGATCAAGCAATTGTCCCGCCTCTTAAACCTATGCTCTCTCTACCGACAAAACGCAAACTTGAGCAGAAACTTAATGCCATGCATGCCCCTTTGTTAGCTTCATGTTCCGTGTCGGCGTGGTAGCTTTCTGCCTCGAAAGTTCGAGTTCACTCGAGCACCGATTCAGCTAGTCGTCGCCATTCAGTGAATCACAGCCATTCAGCAATAGCAAGTGTGCTTTCGAGGTGCTGGCACCGCTGGCAACTAGACAAGGACGAGGAAAACAATCTCTTTGAAACAGAAGCGTACCATGCGCGACGAAGTGCCCATGAAAGTAAAGAATGCCGCTCCACCGCCCTTGTCCTCCACGGCAACCATTGAAGCCATCGACATGGTTCGTACGTACCTGGCAGAATCTCCACCTGATTGGAGCTTCTTGCACATTAAACGCATGCTCGGAATGTGCGGGTAGGGAAGCCTGAACCTCTTTCTGCAGGCACAATAAACATGAACTTGTTTATTGTGGTGTACCCTGCAAAAGTTTAGAATTGTTCGGATCCGTATGTGATACGAGCACAAAATTTACGGGCAAAAATTTTAAGAAACTTCTTTATTATATCTAGGTTCTTACAGTACATTTTACAGAATTGCTTCCATGAGATTTTTGTATTGAAGCTTGATATGGTGGGGTGTGTGAATATTGAGCTTTAAATTGAAATCGAATATTGACGAGATCATTTAATTAGACTTTCTCATTCCTAGTATTCAAGCTGAATATTTCTATACATTAAATATCAGTACCACCGGCAAACATTCAGGCTTATTCGGGAATGCTGCAGATATCGTGAAGAAAAACCTAACGGGCCTCTGCTGGGTCTAAATCAAGCCTAAATTCAGAAGCCTTGATTCCCTAACCATTTGAACAGAAAGTAGTTTGTTTCTTGTATTCCTTGAGCAAAGCTTTCAGTTTTCTTACTTCAGTCTCTATACTGCCATTTAGAATTATTTGGCCGAATTGAAGTGGCCTTTCACTTTTGGTAAAGTTAAGTACAGCACACCAAAAAGGTAACTCTGCTTGTTGTGTCCAAAGAGAATTATGAAGAAGTAGAGTGAATAGATAAACGAAAGCTGCAACTGACATTTCAGTCAAATGCTCCTGATACCAATTGACAAGAACCGCAACCCTTTCGTCGGAGTTGGAGTCGGCGACGACCTCTGGAAAGACTTGGAGACTATGTGTCATGAACAGTTCAATTTGCAATCTGGGGTTTTGGTTAACTGCTTAATTTAATTATTTTATTAATACTTCTTTTCTTGTCTGATGTGACATATGCATTTCCTTTTAAAAATGAGGGCAAAATGTTGTGTCCAAAGAGAATGATGAAGAAGTAGAGTGAGCGGATAAACGAAGACGATGCAATAGCTACTGCTCTGTCGGCATTCCTTCATTACTCATGGCTATACCACAGGATACCTCGGCAAAGCTCACTCATGAGTGCACTCACTCGCCCCACTGACCCTCACCTATCAGGCATGAGGTGAGGGTTAGTGAGATCATAAGCCTCGAAAACTCACGAGTTCGAGGTTGAGTGACAGGCGTGAGTTCGGTTAGTTCATGAGTTCGGTGAGGGGCGTGAGTTCAGTGAGGGGCATGAGTTTATGAGGTTGGTCAGTTCATAAGTTCAGTGAAGGGTGTGAGTTAATGAGTTTAGCGAGGCATAAGGTCCCTAAGGTGCCATG